ATTGATGATGATAATTTGAGAACAATAAAAACCCTGGATTGTTTGCTCAGTAGGTCTACTATCGCTGCACTAACAAAGGCTTTTGGGTCATCTAGAGAGGAGAATGCTGGAAGAATCAAACGATATTCAATTGCCACGCCAACATCTTGTAGTGAATCAGATAATGCAGCAAACATTCCAGAATCGCTACCATAGTAGTCAACCTCATAGATTGCTATGACTTTTCGCCAATTGAATTAGCGAATAACATCCGTGATGCATCTAATTTGTTCATTGACATTGCTAGCCATCTGTACCAAGAAAGGCCATCGCTGAGGCATGAGTGGTTGTATAATGACAGCTGATGCAAATGAAATAACGGGCATTTGAGTTCTGTTTGCAATGTCAGCAACTAAAGTTGTTTCCTCCCATGTTTCCATTCCAATAAGGACTTGCACATTCATCGCTTTCGTAAATTCTTCAGCTGTACCAAAAATTCATTGTTAATCCATATTTCTACCACAGTTGTTTCCTATCAACACTTGCAACATTAAAGACATGACAACATCAATAATTAATTTTTTAATGTATACAGATTTTGTGTGTGTGTGTGTACCTTGATGTATTCAGAGGACTATATCTTAACAAAACGAATATATATATATACATTATAATCAATTACAATCAATCTACATACTGTCTACATGAATAAACATCGAAAAAGGACATAGAGATGAATTATACAGAGGGATAAAAGAAAGAGCACTCAAAGAGGGTCATGACAGAACACATCTTATTTGGAGATGCTAGACCCAATGGCCTTCCATTTAAGAGTATCATATGTGGTTACTAGATTAATTATGTTAGCAAATTCCCTATGATTACAAAAAGGATGATAAAAAAGATCACAAATTTTAGGGTCACCTTTATTTTTACTAGCAAAGCACCACGTGCGTTGCACATAAACATTTTCGTTAAAATATTTGATAAAATATATCTAAAATATTTAATTCATGTCATCTTGGTCCATATATAGACAGACTGTTAAGTTTTTGACGGAATTATCATGTGTTTGACATATGATATCATTTAAAAAAATGACGTGATCACTTTCGTCAAAACACTTGACAGATTGTCTAATTAGAGAGCAAAGTGATATGGATTGAATACTTTAGAAACTAAATCGATACAATGAAAACTAAATTGACAAAAAAAATGTATACTTTAGAGACTAAAAGTGTTATTAACACAAAATTTAATTATATAACTAAATTAGATACTATCGCATTTTTATCATACTTAAATTATTTATATTGTGGATGACAAGAAAAAAAAATTAAATAAATAAATAAAATATATATATATATATATATATATATATATATTAATTTCTTGGCATGCAAGATAATATTATATAAATGAAGTTGTCGATGTATATTAATATTGGAGTTTTAGAAAAAAAATAATTTTTTTATATATAACTTGTTAAGAGTAACATGACCATTTAAAAGTTTTGTACAGATTCAAATTTACATTGTATGGAAGATGTTAATTTGTTATTTTAAGTATAGAGGTATATAATGATAATCTATATATTTAAATGTAGGATATGTTAGTCTTTATAGTTTTTTATGAGGGTAAAATAGTGAATCAAAATTTTTTCATGTAAAATACTTTTATTAGAAGTATAGATTGAAAAGATATTTTAGTATCAATTCATGTATTTTAAGAGGTTAAACATGTTTATTATCACTGTTGTGGTCACTATTTTTATCATTTTTCTTTAGTATCACAACAGTAATAAAAACACCCACAAAAATGAGATAAATGTCGGTATGATATTAATTTTTTATTTTTTAGTTACAGTAGACAACTCCTAAAATTACTTGCAAAGGAAGGTGTGAGTGTGCTTTGGAAGCCTGTTTATTGGGTTTGTACTACCAGAGAAGAGAGAAGAAAGGCAAAAAAGAGAAGGGACATAGGACTCCGAGAATAGCCAATCCAACATTCCTTGATCTTCGCAAATATTTGGCAGTTTGGCTTGGTGTAGTATTCGATAAATTTATGACATGTGTCTACACCTAAATAAGACAAGTGACAACGATTATCAATTATTATAGAAGTGGGGACACACTCCTATTGTATTGAAAGTGACAAAATTGACCCTTCACCAAGGGTGGTCGAGAGTGGCACCACAGAAGTCTGGAAGCAACCTTGGCGAGACACGTCCCCCCCACTACGGGACTGGTATCTTCAACCTAGTGGACACCATTGTTTGACTAGTCCACTAGACTAAAAAAAAGAGTCCCCACCTAGGGACATGGTAGTATAACCTTCCTCAAGGGAGAACTATGCAACGGGGGCAAACGAGTGTGATCATCAACCTCGATTTGGGACAGGGTCTCAAAAGTTTAGTTTGTTCAAACAGACCTCTCAGTGTATGGTTTATTGCTTACTGAGATTTTGCTTAACTGGGATTTGGAGGGACTCTTAAGATAATAGGGTTATTGGTCCAGATCAATACATAGGATAATGAGACATGTGAATTGTTGACTAAAGGATCAAAACTATGTATGTTTCCTCTATCGGGCACCTTGACAAATGTCTTGAGGAAGGAGTTCAGAGCGGGAAAAGAGGATCCCAGGAGGGAGGAGCGCACTAGGCGCATCGCTTACATGGCCTTCCCGAGGTCATGGTCCCGTGATGACTAGTTGTAATCACTAATTAATATCTACCTAATTAATGATGGGACACATAGCTCGCGATTAGTGGCAATTGATATTTTTGCGGTCGAGAAAATTGTGGTTTAACGCGAGCGTCAGAGTGTCACTGGGAGCAATTACTCCACCTACCCTCTATCCAATCGGTTAGTCCATTCGTTAACAAGTTGTTCAAATTCTTCCATCTCATTTACTTATTCTACTCATCTCCTTCTACTCTTCTTATAGATATGTGTGTCAACCTCTTTTAACTCTTTACCTACACACTTGATTTCAAGCCACCGTAGTACAAACCTCAGCTTCATATTAAAAATCTTCTTCTCTCTTGAAGGGTTTTGCTATGGCTTTGTTTTCTCCCAAATTTCTCGCACTACATTTATTTTGTATGCCCACCAAGCAAAGGCCCACTAAAGAAAGAGAAGCAAACCCACCATTTGACGCCCAAACAATTCTCTCTCTCTCTCTCATCTCTGTTTTTATGTTTTTATTCATTCTGTGATAAACCCACTTGTAGACAGCTCATACTTGCAGTCAGCAACGCGAAGAATCTAATGCCGAAAGACGACCAAGGTACCACAAGCACTTGTGTGATCGTGGATTTTGGCGGTCTAAAATGAAGAATCAAAACCAAGTTATGACTAGAGAAAGTATTCATTACAATGGTAATGTCACGCACCAAGGTGATGTGGTATCATCAACTAATAATATTAAAATAAATAAATAAGTGGATCCCACAAAAAATAATAATTGACCTATCATGTAAACAAATAATTTTTAAGTTTAAGTGAGATTCACCTTACCAATTTAGAGTTTTATAATTGATTAATGATATTATATTATCAATGGTGACATAGCATCAATGTTGCATCCAAGGCCAGTGGGAGGTGGTGTTTGGCTAATTAAACTCTCAATTATCAATTTAACAACTATAATGAATTAGGTCAATTGATTGTGACTATAATTCAAATATGATTATTTATTAATCATATTTGAATTATCTAACTTATTTTAATCCAATATATAATTCCTTCATTATTAATTAAGCCTACACTCAACCTATTGCAATTTTAGGATAAATTGCATTTGCATTTTCTGAGATTTGTTACTAAATCTTCTTAAGTATGAAAAATTACATTAGTATTGCCAGACAGTGACAAAAAGCTAACAACCCAAATGAGGACTATAGAACAACTATTATTCTATTTAATAAAAAATGAACAAAATCAATCTCAACCCACCAACCCAAATACAAACCCGAAACAAAATCTAAAACCAAACTCTAACCCAAATCTGAATGCAAAGCTTTAATGTTAAGGTTTGACTTTGACCTAAAAAATTTTCAGACCCACTTTCTAATTAGGCGCGTGTACCACAAATTCCATCCAATTGTTGAAATTTGTAATGAAGGCACTTTAATCTAAAAATAGAAAAGTTTGTGTTTTTTTTTGAAATGACACGAAAGTAATGTGCTTAAATGGCAAACCATGTGAGAGTTAAAAAAAGTTTGTTCTAATTTATTCTCGCTCTCTTTGTACGAGCAATGCCTTAAAAATTCAAATAAAACTTAAAAATTACAACTTAAATACATACTATCTCTTAGATAAATGAGTCTTATTAATTTTTTTTAGTAGGATTACTCATTTCACACTCATCCAAGAGATGATATGCATTTATATTTTAACTTTTGAATTTTATTTGGATTATGTAGTATTTTTCTATCTCTACATAGTAACACGTTAAAGGGCATGTCAAAACCTCAAGCAAAGAAAAGGAAGAAAAAAAAATCAATGAGAATAACTAAGGAAGTCGATGCACAATGCAAGACCAAACCAATGTCTTGTAAAAAAAAATAAAATACTTATTAAAAAAAGGATCTCTTTAAAACTTCCACGTTATTTCAAACCAATGCCTTAAATAATTTCTTTGTTATAATTTTTTGTGTTGAATTCCAGTTTCTATGTGCATGAATAAGACAATCATATATATATGACATGCTTGTTGGCGTGTACATGCTTTTGTGTATTGTAGCCAGAAAATATGAGGTGGGAATTATTTTGCTTTCAATCATTCTTATACTAAACTTTAGGGAATGGAGTTCAAAGATAATAAAGAGAAAAAACAAAGAATAAATATGATAATGATGATATTTTGGGTATGGGCAGCCCATACCAAGAGCCTAACATGTTCAATAGGCCTCTACTTGCAGAACGGCTCAAACAGCTCACTCTTAGCCTGTCCACTCAAAGGTTAGGATGGGCCGCGCCCCAAAAGAGGAAACCCTAGTGCTTGAAGGCTTGAGACTCAGCCTAGCCCAATCCAATCTAGCAGGAAATCAACTTGGGAGTAAGGAGCCCAACCTCCTTGTTGCTCCTGAACCACTCCCATCGAATTCAGACCCTCAACACCCTCATCAACCTCTTCCTCGAATTCAAACTCTGAAGGAGACTCAGAAACAACCCTCCCCATTACTGGCTAAAATTGTAAACTAGAATGCAAAGAAGGCAAGTGCAAGACACATTCGGTCAAGAATAAGGAATTCGGACACCAAGTCCCAAATACAGATAGCCTCAACAATAAGGAATGATCTATGAATCGCAAAAGGAAAGAGAAATCACCAGAATGACTCTTGAAATAGCTAAACCTCCAAACCAGAAAACGAAACCCAAAACCCCACTAGGGAGGGTTGAAGGGATCCAGATCGTGCAAAAAGAAGAAGGAGAAAGGGACATACCTAATCGAAAGTTAGAGTCAAAGCGGAAAAGAACTGAGAACGTAAGACCCTGGATCACCAAAAAACTTGGAGTGGTTGCCTCGAAAACCAAAAGAAAAGAGAGAGCACGAATGGATGAGAATTCAAAAACTCAAAGTGGGAAAGGCAAAGAGGGTTTCCCTCTTCTTATATATAGCATCTATCGCCATGATAGGACGTGGAGCAGGACGAGCAGAGGAAACTGTATCAAAGGGTCCTCCTACAAGTGACACGTGCACCCCTCCAAACACAACCCGTCCCATTAAGGCAGGCACATGTTAACCCACCACACTCCAGGGAAACTCCTGCATAACCTTAAACCAGGAAAACTGTGCCAAATTCAAAAAAGATATTTCTAACCCCAAGTCAGAGCTTGACGTCATGGTCGTGACCTAGGGCTAGGGGGCAATTAAAAATGATGAAATTTTGGGTATGGGTCGCCCATACCAAGAGCCCAACATGTTCAGTGCGCCTCTACTTGTAGAACGACCCAAACAGCTCACCCATAGCCTGTCCACTCAAAGGTTGGGATGGACTGCGCCCCAAAGGAGAAAACCCAACAGCGCCTGAAGGCTTGAGACTCCGCCCAGCCCAATCCAGCCCAGTAGGAAATCAACTCGGGAGTAAGGAGCCCAACCTCCTTGTTGCTCCTGAACCACTCTCATCACACCACGCGTCTAAAAGGTAGCGTCATATGACAGAGGTCATTACTGGACAAGGGAAGAAAGAACTACAAAATCAGCAAAAAATGGAGAGGAAGCCGCCAGAAACCCTAAAAGAATTACTGGAATAAATAGGACACTATTACACCATTAAAAAAAAAAAGGATCTTCTTGTTCTTCATCGTTAACGTGGTCCACCTCACTGAAAACTTTGTATTCTCTAAGCATTTCATGTACAAAGGCTCTAAGCCAAGCAAACTACTATAACTACCTTCTTCAAGCAATATACACACCAATGAGCAAGAGACTCTATTACAGTGGATGTAACCTTGATTTTTCAACTGAGGTAAACCACTTACATATTGTTTCTGTCTTTCTCTCACATCTTAATCCATTACCGATCCATATATCCACACTATTCCCTCTCTGGTACATCTAACCACTGTTCTGGGCTTGGGCTAAACATTTTCCGAGCACCATCAAAATATATGTGTGTAGGTGGGTTAAAAAATCATATTTTCATTTGCTAATGAAAAGCCTAATATGATACATCAATGTAATAGTATCTAAGAATTGTAAACATGGAATAAAAATCAACTCTATTTACGGGGTCAAAAAATAATTACACAAAGATAAAGCGTATAATCTGGAAAGACAATAAAATAACTTACCTGCATAAAGAGCTCGGATGGGATTTCCCTCGGAATTGTGAAAATGAAGAGATACCTTGTGATACACAGAGGAGCTGTTGAAGTTCTGAGCAGCTACTTTCATCGCTGTTTTCACTTCTTTGCCGATACGGGTACTATCGTCGATGATTGCCCCGATGCCCGTGGTTTCGGTCTGTGCAGATGTGAAGGTCCAATAGTTGGAGAAAATGAGTAGAAGATAAATGAGTACAGTTGGGAAGAAAAATGTTGGTTTTGCAACTGTATTACCAAAAGTGACTAGGAAAGGCATTTTGGTTCTAAGCATAATCCCGATGATGATGGAACACCTTTTTCTCCTTATGGTATTTTTAGGATCAGAAAAATCAATGTAGTTGTTGGCACATACATGCATACTTATATTCACAAGGCATGTACAAATGCCATGCATGCATGAACCTGCTTAGAAATTTACATAGAAATGTTAAATCTAGCCAATTATATAAAAAGTTATTTTATTTTGAACCATGCAATTAACCGGTCAAACACGTCGACTATGACTTGTGTGATATAACTATCATTTTATCACAGGAAAATTCTTTCTTACTTTCAATGAAATTCCTTAGGGTCGAAGTTGAAAGCGGAATGTCAAATCATATGCCGCAATCTGATACAATATCAAGAGATAGTTGACATATTTTTCTATGTTTTATCTTATTTTTGGGAAGGGTCTATGATCGTTAGCCCGTTGTTCAACAAGTTGCAACTCGTGTGTGACCGATGTGAGACGTGGAGAGGAAGATTTGGCAAGACCTCTTATGTTGTAACAACCGTGAGGAAAATTACATAATATTAATAAGAGATCATAAGAAATAAGCACCCGAAAACCAATTCGACCCAAACAAAATTAAAACTTTTAGAAAAAATTAATCATATGACTCTTGAGGATTATGGGTGTTTGTTATACCAAATTTTTTTTTTTGGTATCGTAGTCAAGTCCACATTTGAAAGGGGAGGAGTGTGAATGCAATGAAGAGAATTTTAGTCGGTCCATTGTGATGCATTTGTCTAAGTTTCACATTGCCACACAATTTTTTAACAACCAACTAGATGTTGATTTTCCAGTCCTACAACTAAATGAATAAAATGGATTGCGAATTGAATGACTTTTACAGACCCAAAGAAGACTTGCGGGCCATCTAAGAATGTTTTTTAAGTAATATTTATTTCGCATATTTGTCTGTTTTTTTTTTTCCCCTTTTTCTTGTTGAAAATTACTACGTTGCTTTACCCTTGATCGTATGCATAACAATTTATATGTATACAATATAAATGTATCATTTACGTATTAAGATATATCAATATCATTCTTGTAAAATAATAATTAAATATACTTTTATTATTTAAAAAATTACGCATAAAAATATTTTAGTGAGTGAATGTAATTATAATTATAACTCATATTAGTAATTTTAGTGGTAAATCACTTTATACAACATTATAATGATTTTCCTAATGATGAAATTAACGGCATAAATCATCATAGAAAAGTACAATTGAAGACCTTTGGGCAACAAGAATTCAACTTAGCCACAATACCTCGAACCATTTTTTCACCCCATCAATTACTAGAATATAATAGCTTTCCTTTGGGGTAGAGTCATTATTTAATATGGTGTAAGTGTTTAATGTCATGGATAAACATAAATTTCTTTATTGATAAATTTTCTTATATTTCAAAATTATGAAATGCTTTGGCTCGTCACCATAAAATTAAAATAAATATAATTTTATCAAATATAAATTTCTATACATAAGATGTTTTGGCTCGTCATTATGCATAAAATATTCCAAATCATGACATATGAACAAATAAATTTTACCCATATGAATCCAGTGTTAATTCTGGCGGACTCGAATAAACCTTATGGCCAAAATACCATCAAAGATTGTCTAGTTTTCGTCATTTAAACAATGACTAACAGATACTTCAAACAAATGAATTGTTGTCTTTTCAAAGCCTACACATAGAACACATAAATTGCTATATGCCCTTAACTAGTACCAGTTCTATTCCAATATACCGAATGTATAGAATTTACTCCATAAAAGCATTCTATGACTTTTCAAAGTCTAACATTCAAGGTATATTCGATTGCTTCTGTACCGCTAAGAATTTTGCAATATGATAATACAAATTATTATAGAATTTCATGCTTTTGTCCACTTATGCATTTGAAATCAAAACATAGAGACCGTGAAAAGCAAAACTTGATATCATATCCACAGTTGTACCGATGACAATAACAAAGATCAAAGTATGCATAACCTACGGTACAATAAATCTGTAGAATATAATTTTTGCTTATAATTCCGGTAGCCTAAATCACACAAATTCCTGAACATAATTTTATTTCATAAAATTTTCTTCTCGCAAATTTAATCATACAAATAAAATAAATTATAAGAATCAAATCCCATGACCGGCTTTCATACCAATTGATAGACCTAATGGTCTTAAACGAATCGAATAGAAAACTAATCTTGAGCCATAAAATCCATAACAATGATTTTTAATAGAGATATGCAGCGAAAATCCCCGCGAGAAGAATACCAAGAATACTAAATATAATTGTGAACTTGATATCCAGTACATTGCTGATAAGTTTTCTAGAGAGTGAGAGATACTGTAAACGTGAATAAGAGATGAGGTCTTTCAAGTAATTTATATCCCCCTTACTGGTAATCAACTACCTCACGTTAAAATAATCAATAATCGTTCCCTTCCATTAAGTTAACTGCCAAGAAACTGACTATTTGTTAAATATGTTTCCTTATATCTAGGACAATCACTTCCACGAGGAAACCACCAATTAACATAACCAACAATATGTTAGGTCTTTTAATTAGCATATCCTTGTCCCAAAAACCTAAGTTCGCACCTTGTTAATTAAAGTCTACATGTGGGTCCCATTAAATAGGTTCCAACACAACCGTGCTATGGCCGGGAAGGTTTGAAATGTTGTGGAGCCGTCGATAATTGTGTAATCAATGGAGAGAGGGAGAGGAGAGGAGGAGATTGAACAGTGTAAGCTACATAGATCAAACTCATGCAATTTTTATCACTAGATCTCATGCAAGGGTTTTTACTTGACAGCTTAGTGTATGAGACTCTCACTACTACGAGATTTAGGAAGAGTAAAATGCAGCCTAACCCCCATGTGCGAAAAGCCTATTTCTATGACACTAACTCATGAGGCTCACAGCCAGATGAAGCATCTCTACCTCATATGGTGGAAGTATAAATAAAAAATGAAGCTTCATGCATGAGATACTATGTGATGAGAGTCCCCACACTAAAACCGCAAAAGTTAGATAGGGGAGAGAATGAAGTGTGAGATGGAGAAAAAAGACTCACAAGTATTGTTATCAAAATTATATAATTCAATTCGATTTAGTTCTCATTCAATTTATTTTTTACTATAAAATCATTTTTGGCCAAAAATTACATTTAAATCACAAAAATTGTACGATTCGATTCGAATTAAATGAATCACACAATTCACCCATGGTTCCACAATTAAGCCCAAGCATCCAAATTAGTCGCGTCAGACTAACATCCTAAGGGTGATCATTGAAAATTATCGATGGATCAAGATTTTAATGTGTGTTTAATTCGTGTGGAGCCTATCAACAAGCGCCACTTTCATGATTGGGCAAAACTTTCTTTAGAAGGTTGGTTGCTTTCTTCAACAAGGACATGCTCCAGTGATTCGATATCTTCAGAATCTCACTGTTATGGTTGGCAAGAGACAACAAGAGAGAGATTTGAATTTAAATTTCAAGTTTATGATGAAAATCTTATTATCATATCTCCATTGTCATTGAATTAAAGGATAATAATTTAAGTTGCTTTTAAGGAAGGGTATTTTGGAGTTCTAAAAAAAATGGACTTAACTACTTATTAGTAAAATTAAAAACAGACTTATCCCTAAATAATTTTCTTTAGCGGACTAAACTCATTATAAATCCCTTAAGGAGGACTCAACCTCAATGTTCAAATGATTAAATAGGGTGATTAAAGAGATTTAAGGTGGGCCCCACCTAAAAACTTATTGCGACTCTTCTAATCTTTAAACCGATATTCAAATTTCATGTATGATTTCGATCAGATCATAATAAATTGGATATTATATACCTAATTCTAAATTCAAGAAATCAACAAAATCCGAAATTCAGATAATTGATACAAAAAGGTAATCCATATGAAATGAAACGAATCACCTCTCAAACTCGGTTGATATTAAGGCCATGAACTCGGTAATCATAACCAATAACAAGGGGCAAAGGCGTAATCTCCATTACAGAATTAACAAGGGTGCTGTCACGTGCATAACATGTGACACTCATGAATGTGTGAGCTATAAAATGGAACATATGAAGGTGGACCAGAAAAGCAGAAGGTGTAGGAAAGCTGAGACAACCAACTCTGCTGCAGCCATGGAAAGTTCGCAGTCAATCAAAATTTTGTTTTAAAACCGTCAAAATATTTTTATTTTCAAAGAGATCAAAATAAAATGAATCAGTCCTTAAAGTGTTGTATAATGATTTGAAATAATTTGTAATGTTTTAATGAATTTGTACAATTGTCTTGAAATATTTTAAGATATTTTGATATATTTTAAACAATATTTTAAAAAGATATTTCTTAAATTTATTATATTTTATTTTATTTCTGAAATGGGTCGAAACTTTTCTAAAACTCATCAAAATATTTTCATTTTTCACCAAAAAAATATATCAAAACAAAATTTTGATCCTTAATATCCACCATTTTTGAAGATGAAGAACATGATCTAAATATGCAAACCCCAATGCGGTTCTCACACAATATTCTTCCCTCAGATGATTTTTTTTATTCTTCTTTTTTGGTGAAGACGTCCTCCTCGACGACAGCATTGTCGTAAACGGAACTTGCTTAACAGGCGCAGAATTTGACTCCAAATTGTCTGAATTTACAGTTGGTTTATCCCCAGAAACTTTGAGGAAAACCTCGTTGATTGAATTAGTACCGGGGGAGTTTAGTAAATTTGGAGAGAGCATTGAAACACGGTACGCGAATGGGTGGCCATTTTGTGCAGGGACATGTGGATGGGACTGGAGAGATTGTGGGGACTGAGGTTGAGGGAGATTCATTGTGGGTTAAAGTTAGGACTGATAAAGAGTTGTTGAAGTACATTGTGCCAAAAGGGTTTATTGCGGTGGATGGGACTAGTTTGACTGTGGTGAACAGATAAGAAAATGAAAGAAGAGAGTAGATGATTGGATAGGAAGAAATGTCTTATTTCACTTACTTATCAAGAGAATATTACAAGAACTATTTATACACAAACTCACCGTCATTCAAGAATCACTTTAAATCTAACTAACTCTCACTAATTAAATACTTCATAACTAATTTTGTAACAAATTGTAACAAACTAACAGTTGGCTCTCTGTTTGCTGACTTGTCTTTTGCTGACATGTCTTATTTCTTCAACAAGCTCCCTCAAGATAGAGACTGGATACCAACGGACTTTTGGTCCAATGGTATTCCTTACCTTGTGAAGACTTTACTTTATTGAAGTCTAGGGTTCAAGTCCCCCCTCCCCCCTTCTCTCTCCCTACCCCCAAAAAAAAAAGAAAAGAAAAGATAGAGAGTGGATGTTTAACACACCCATCGTGCTGAGAAGAAGATGAAATTGTTGTATACCACGTGGCTTAGTGAATACATCACCGAGCTGATGTGCAGAGGAGACATGAAGAGTCTTGACCACCCTTCCTTGAACCTTATCTCAGATAAAGTGACAGTCAAGTTCAATGTGTTTGGTGCGCTCATGGAACACAAGATTAGCTACAATGTAGAGTGCAACCTTGTTGTCACAAAAAATCAAAGTAGGTTGAGGATGAGAAATTTGGAAATCAGCTAGCAGAGTAAGTAACCAAGTTAATTCACATCAAGTAAAGGCTATGGATCTGTACTCTGCTTCAGCAGAAGAACGAGACACAGTTGTTTGTTTCTTGGACTTCCAAGAGATTAGAGAAGGGCCAAGAAAAATACAAAAACCAGTGATGGATCTTTAGGTGTTTGAACAACCTGCCCAGTCTGCATCACAAAAAATTTTGAGATGCAGGTCTGAAATGTTGGGGAAGAAGAGTCCTTGTGCTGGTGTAGATTTGAGATAATGTAGCACACGATGAACAACATCTAAGTGTGATTGTCTAGGCTTATCCATGAATTGACTCAAGATCTGAACTGCATAGGGCAAGTCTGGCTTAGTGAAAGTTAAGTAGAGTAATCTGTCTAATAATCTGCGATAAGAAGAAGGTTCTGCCACCTCAGGACCAGAATCTTTATTAAGTTTCAAATGTTGCTCCATGGGAGACTTCGTTGGACAAGCACCAAGAAAACCAGAATCCTGCAGAATTTCCAAGGCAAACTTTCTTTAACATATAGAAATCTCTTTTGAGGACCTTGCCACTTCAAGTCCTAAGAAGTATTTCAAAATGTCATGATCCTTAATTTGAAATTGACTATGGAGAAAGACTTTAAGATCATCAGCAGCTGAAATGTTATCTATAGCTATGATAATATCATCCACATAATTCAGCATAACTATGAAATAAGAATCAGTACTCTTAGTAAAAAGAGAGTAGTCTGATTTGGACTGAGTAAACCCATGTCCAAGTATGGATGTTGAAAGTTTGGAGAACCATTGTCTTGAAGCTTGTTTGACCCTATAAAGGGACTTATTCAAACGACATACTTGATGATCCTTTGTTTTGGCATAACCAGGAGGAAGACTCATGTATTCTTCCTCAGATAGATCACCATGAAGAAAAGTATTATGTACATCCATCTGGAATAAGTGCCAGTTTCTAGCAGTTGCAATAGCCAGAAGACACTTGATAGTAGTAGCTTTAGCAACAAGTGAAAAAGTTTCAAGATAATCTAGGCCTTCTCTTTGAGTGTTTCCCTTTGCCACAAGTCTGGCCTTGTATCTTTCAATGGTACCATCAGCTTTGTATTTGATTTTGTAAACCCATTTGCAGCCAATGGGAATTTTGTCCGGTGGCAATGAAGTGAGGGTCCAAGTATTGTTAGCCTCAACGACTTGTATTTCAGCTTTCATGACATCACTCCATTCAGTGTGATGAATGGCTTTATGGAAAAACTGAGGCTCATAGTTAGATGAAATGGTGAGACTAAAAATACAATGTGAGGTGGACAACTTATTATAAGATAGAAAATCAGAAATGTCATGTGTTTTACCTGACACAGAAGACAAACCGGATGGTTGTGAAGAGATAAGCTGGCAGTGATAATCCTACAAGTAACTAGGTCTCCTATTTCTAGTAAGTTGTCTAGTAGGAGGAGGAATAGGAGAAGGAGAAAAGGAAGAACTTTCAGAGGAGGAAGAACTTTCAGTGGGAACACTATGAGTTTCGGTGGAAACATTATCTTTAGTGGTTTGATAAGAAGTATCAGAAACTGGAGTAGGTATTACTGTGGTATCATGAGAGAATTGAAGGTTGTTAGAGGAAAAAGGAAAAATAGACTCACAGAAGATGACATATCAAGATAGAAAAACAGTCTTGGTAGTAAGTCATAAGTCTTATAACCCTTCACACTAAGGGGATATCCAATGAATATGCATTGACTAGCCCTGGAGTCAAATTTGGAACTATTATGAGCAAGAGTAGCAGCATAACAAAGGCATCCAAAAACCTTGAGATGAGAATAATTGGGTTTTTGAGAAAACAAAATTTCATATGGAGATTTTCCTGAAAGATTTGGGGTTAGAATGCGATTGATCAAAGAAGCAGCAGTCAATACACAATCTCCCCAGAAAGAAGGAGGTAGCTGAGCTTGAAATCTAAGAGCTCTAGCTACTTTTAAGAGATGTTGATGCTTCCTTTCTACTACTGCATTTTGTTGGGGTGTTCCAATACAACTAAGCTGATGTATAATGCCTTGAGAAGAATAGAAAGATTTCATTGCAAATTCCAGTCCATTGTCTGTTCTTATAATTTTTACTTTAGTTTGAAATTAAGTCTCAACCAAAGCAAGAAATGAAACCAATAAAGATCGAGTCTCAGATTTGGATTTCATCAAATAAATCCAAGTACAACTGGAAAAATCATCTACAATGGTTAGAAAATATTGAGAACCATCCAAGTAGGGGTGTTCATGAGCTAGGTTACCCATAGATCCCATTACTCAGCCCAAAAACAATAGGCCCGAAACCCGATAGGCCCGATAATTGGCCCGCTCGAGTCCGAGCCCAATATTCTTAAAAAGAGGGCTTGAGTTTATTCTCAAACCCATTACCCGGCCTGAAACCCGTCCGCAAGCCCAACCCACCTACCTAGCCTTCATTTGAAAAAAAATTATACTTTTAGACCATTAAATTTGAAACTTTGAAATAAGTTTTCCAATATCGAAATTTGAAGTTTTAAAAATTTAGATATTATAAATAATGTATTATTTTTTTTCCATGTATTAAACATATAAGTTTTAAATGGTAGATTAATACAAATCACAGGTAAGTTAGTAGGTGTCAACCTAGTTGAGATCTATTCATTCTATTGGATGAAGTTCATTATTTTATTTTTATCCATTTTGACTTTACTTTTGATTCAAAAATATAATTTACACAAATATTAAGTTACAAAAATATTCATTATTTTTAAATAAAGATGTATATAAAAAAATCTGTAAGCAGGCTTGCCCAATAGGCTTATAGGTTGGGCTGCGGGTAGCTTACCTCTACCCGAAGCTCGGCCCGAAAAAAAATTTCGCGAGCCTAACCCGACCCCGCCCATGGACACCCCTACATTCACTACAACAAAATTTGTTTTTTGCGACGATTTTTTTCGTTGATAAATTAAAAAAAATCATCGCCAATGATTTTTTGCAACGTTTGTTTTCGTTGCGTGTTCGTCATAATATCCTCGTCGCAAAAAGTATTTTACGACACAAATTTTTTTTCGTCGCAAAAAAAAAAAATTCGCGACAGGAAAAAAACGTTGCTAAAATCCATTCCACCAATGTAAGAAAATAAAAAATTATAATTTAATTAACTTTTCGCGACGTAAATAAATTGTCGTAAATAATTTTTTACATAAATAAAAAATAATAATTTAATTAACTTTTCGCGACGTAAAAAAATCGTCGCGAATAATTTTTTACATAAATAAAAAATGTTAAAAATAATAATTTAATTAATTTTTTTCGACGTACAAAAATCGTCGCGAATAATTTTTTCCATAAATAAAAATATAAAAAATAATAATTTAATTAATTTTTCACGACGTAAAAAAATCGTCGAGAATAATTTTTTACATAAATAAAAAATATAAAAAATAATTGAATAAATACATTTCCGATGTATAAAAATCGTCGCGAAACTGATTGTTCCTACAATTTTGTGCGATAATTTTAATTTCGTCGCAAAAAAGTTCTTTTTAAAAAAAAATAATTCATAAAAAATGATATTCTAATAAAATTTTTCACCTGTACACCAATAATACATGTGTTCAATAAAAAAACTAACACAATTAATACATTTCACATCTTTTTTAAAAAAAATAAAATTTTATTTCCAATACGAATGAAATACAAGAATTAAAGAATAAGAAGTTTTAAAAATAGAAAAAATGGTTTTAATCCTTCAAGAGAATGTAAATCATCTCTAATTACATTTAATGTCTCTTAAACTCTGATGATAAAATACTGGACATTATATCTTCAATACCATTTTGCTCCGAGGAAGCTGTGGGTGGAAAATGTGAAGTTGAAGGCTCTACAATGACAAGAAGTGAAAAACAAAAAAAAATAATAAATTGATTAATTACGAAGACCAAACCACAACAAATAAGGAGACGACAAATTTCAAAGACCAATAACTTGTTATGGCTGACAATGATGACGGTTCAAATTAATGACCAAAAAGAAGTTTATCTTGATTATTGTGCCTCAGTTGGAAATAAAGCAGTAAGACATTTCCACACAATCTAAGGCAAATATAAAGTATTGCACTATATAAAAACATTAAGTCATATACCCAATTGAGATGGCATCACAGCTAAGAGGATACTGAGGGTGGAGAAGTGCAAAGGAGGGACAACTTGAATGGGAGTGTAGAATTTGAAACGAATCCAATGCAGAAGAACAGGAAAGGGAACAAGTAGTACACCATAGCACACCGTTCGTTTTGCAAGAAAATTGAGGAAAAAAATTTCCCAGGAGTAAAAC